CCCTCCCTGCCAAGTGCAGGCCCTCGGCTGGCATCGCGGACCAGCATCGTGTCATCTTGTAGGAGCAGGTTCCCGGTCACAGAGCAACTCCTCACGTGTCGATGGCAGACTGCACAGCACTGCGTCACATGTAGTAGTGCTCACAGCACTGTGTCATGTAGTAACACGGCATAGTCACAGCGCCATGTCATGTAGTAACACAGCACTTATCACTCAGTAACACGGTACCATGTCATGTAGTAACAGCACCATGTCACTTAATACCAGCACCATGTCTCGTCGTAATCCCATGTCACGTTGTAACATCCCTGTGTCACTTAATAACAGCGCCGTGTCACGTAGTAACACAGCACTGTATCACGTAGTCACAGTGCCGTGTCACGTAACACAGCACTGTATCACGTGGACACAGCGCCGTGTCACCGGGTGACACAGCATCACTTCGTAGAGCGACAGCACCGTGTGTTCTCCCAGTGGGAGTCGACCGCACCCTTGGGCACACCGTTCCAGCCTGCCTCCTTCAAGCTGCGTCTGGGGAGTCTGGGTGCGGGTGGGGGTGCAGCCCTGCCGCCGTCCGGCCTCCACCTGTGATGGAGACGGGCCGTGAGTCTCCCCGCCCTGGGCCTCCCAGAAGAGCTCTGGTCGTGCCCCAGGTTCAGACACTCAGCTGCTCACCCCAAGGTTTGCAGTCAGACCCCCCCACCCCAGCCCCTCCGGGAGAGAAGACGAGGCTGGCTGCTTCCATGAAGATAGGGGACAGCTCTGCTCTGTCCAGCAGGGCTGCTGAGGGCTTGGGTGGCTGTGAGCCGGATTTCTGGTTTGGGTCCTGGTGAGGGTGGGCGTCTTCAGAACGCAGGTGCCCAGACACCCTGCGCTCCCACAGCTGCTGCCCCGCTCCTCACAGACACCACAAGGGGGAGCCGCAGCCCGCAGGCCTGGGTCCCTGGGGCTTAGCTGCCAGCCCTGGGGGAGGGCTTGTCCCTCCGTGGGCTCTGGGAGACCCTTTGCTTTGGTTCGCCCTTGTCCAGGCCACGGCCACAGCCCCGCAGCCCCTGCCTTCCCCGTGCTCCGTT